CAGAGGCATGATATAAAAACAACAAAAACATGATATGAAAACAACAAAAACATGATATGAAAACAACAAAAACATGATATAAAAACAAAGTGATGCAAACAATGACTGATAAAGTGATTAAACTTATTCTAATATCTCCCTGTATACCACATTAAGAGTGAAAACACTTTCAGAGTGCTTGACTAATTTCCCTTGTGATGAAGTATTTAGAACTTTAACTTTAACGTCACATGCTCTTCAAACTCAAGAGAAAGCAACATATAACTGACCATGTGCGAAAGCAGGTTCAGGTAGGAATATGCCTACTCTGTCTAGAGTTTGTTCTTGTGATGTATTAATAGTCATCGCAAATGTTGGCATCACGGGAAACTGTCATTGAATCAATTTAAATGGGAGGCCAGTGTCAGATGGGGAAAAATTAATTCTTGGAATCAGAACAACCTCTCCTTCTGCAGATCCTGTTAATACTGCAGCTTCAATAATGTTAGGTCATAATCTTTTGATAATAAATCTGGTACCATTACAAAGACCCCATTTACTATTAAGATTTCTCAGTAACATGATGATTGCACCCACTTTCAATTTTAATTTATGACATGGCATTCCAGAAGGAGTAATACTATTAAGAAATTCAATGAGAAAATTTTCCTTTTCAGCATCATCTGTTGAATCAATGAAATCATCACTCAAATATGTGTGAAAATCTCCATCGAGTATATCCAAAATTTCTTCATTTAATTGTTGAACCTGCTCATTTTTTTGGACAAAGAATTGCACATTTATATATATTTTTAATATTATCTATAGATTAGTATTTCATAGGTAGCTTCAATAATAGATCCATTACAAATAATTTCATAGGGGATTTCAATAATATCCATTCCTAAATGAAAACTGCTATCAAGTTTGCTATCTCCAAGTTTTACTAACCATCCACTATAAGCAGAATCCTCTGATCTCATATTTTTTCTAAGAGACAACTTTCTGAAACATCCCCAAATATTACAGTACTTTAAACTCATTTGTACTATGGCCGATCACATAGCATGCAGCACAATACTGAGACATTGTCGAAAATCCCCTACAAGAAGGAGAACTTTCCCACCAAATACAACATTCAAATTCATAATTTCTCTTAGTAATCTGTCTATGGCGTTTATAGCGTGACTGGATGCCATGGTGCATTCATCAATAATGAGAAGTTGGGCCTTTTTAATATTTTTAGCAACTTCACTCTTTATATCGAGTCTAGAAATTGAAGTTTCATTTAATGGAATCAGTAATTTATATTGGAAATGAAAGGTGCTTCCACCAAGAAATAAATTTGCAGCAATTCCTGTAGGCGCTGTGGGTAAAAGAGTACCACTACGACCTCTAATATAATGTATTAAAACTTTATACAGATATGCAGGTGAATAGGATTCCTAGCTGGCAGGCCCCTGACAGCAAGCTGGCCACCTTTCGATTCTGTGAGGAATGGGGCTCCCTCCTCCCTCCCGTCAGGGTCCAGGGTGAAGGTGAAAGGGGTTTCTGGCTGGCAGGCCACAGCAAGCTATCCAACAGCAGATTCTGTGAGGAATGGGGCTCCCTCCTTCCTACTGTCAAGGTCTGGTTTGAAGGCTGGCCAAGCCCACTGTAGGGACAGACCCAGAGTTCTACCAGGCTGTGGCCTCCTCCCCAGCAACCCAGGACTGACTGCTGCTGGGCGCTCCTGGTGCTCTGGGGGTGGGATCTTCCCTCAGACCTAGCGGGAAACAGCTTGGGGAGGGTGCAGTCCTCGGCAAAGCGACCCAGGACTCAGTGGGTCCATGCTCTGAGGGTCAGTTCCTGCCTCAAACCTCGCCCTTACTGGAAACTGCTCAGGGAAACAGCTCGGGGTGGGCACAGCCATTGCCAAGACAACCCTGCAGGACTGACTTCCTTCTGGTTGGTGGAGCCTCGGTCGTGATGTTACACCCAGGGTTTTTATATAAATAGATAGATGTTTGACACGTTGGTCAGGAAAGGAGACTAAAGTTGAACCACTGTTACTGTATCAGGAACCAGACCATCACTCACTGGCTTCTGTAAGAGGAAGCCAAAGGTGATGGTGCCATCCTCAACACACACAGATGTATTTCTAAGGACTTTCCTGGAAGTAGGTCATATATTTGTTACCCCAACTGGACATTCTTTGAAGACAGGATATGAGTATAATGAACACAACTCACATATTGTCAGCAAAAATGATAGTTGGAAGGTAGGTGGCAGTCCCATAAGGTCCATGAAGGTGCAGGTAAAGTCCAACATTTTGGTGATGGGTAAAACAATATTCTATGGATTAATCATGGAGCTGATAATTTTGTCCAAGGTCTGGATATATCTGTGCTATAGTTAACACATGAAACACTGGTTTTCATATGAATGGTCATATTTACACCATCACCATCAGATCTGTATGCCATAACTATCAAAAGGACAAATACTGACTTTACGTCTCCAAAAAGAAGGAAATGTGCCCAGAGAAAGATTTGAGGAATTTTATCTTATGGAGAATAAAAGACCCTCAAAATCCAGAAGTTTTACATACTTAAAAACACACATTTTACAGATACATGTATATTTACATATTCAGTTGATATTCTTTACCAGAACTGTCTTTAAATCTTTAAGGGTGTGAGAGGTGGAAGAGAGATCAGATTTATTGTTTGTAATCCCAGAAGAACAGTGAGTTCAAATAATCAGAAAGGAGCTCCCACTTCTGGATGTGAGGTAGTCTTGGTTTCCCAGGGACCATTTAGGGTCAGTTCCTGTTTGTACTATTTCCTTACCAGACACAGGCAATCAAGAAGTAAAAGTGGGTAAGAAAGGGTTTTTGGCAGAGAAAGATAATTCTGGAAACTCACAGGACTGAAGGACTTTATCAATGTCTTAGGGCAAGAATAGTGTAGTGGGATTTATGAAAAAAATGATAGAGTGTGGAATCTGAGACAGCGATGGCCAGAGAGGCAGGATCCATGCCAGGAGAATTGGATTATACTCTAGATAAAATTCTACTAAGGATATGAGTTAGTAATTGTATTTTAGGACAGGTTATCCATCTTGATAAGAAAATTAAACTATGCCAAGAATAAACTTACATGTAGTTTTATTTTCTCAGAAGCTGTACTTTTTTTTAATACTTTGAGGAATATAAGACACACAGCATTAAAATAGATTTCTTTTAAAATTTATTAATTGATTTGAGAGAGACAGAGAGAAACATTCATTTGTTGTCCCACTTACTTATGCATTCATTGGTTGTTTTTTGCATGTGACCTGCCCAGGGATCAGACTCACAATGTTGGTGTATTGGGATAAAGCTCTAACCAACTGAGCTACTCAGCCAGGGCCTAGAATAGGTTTCTTACTGTGTGTCAGATTTCTCACTTCAATGCAACCCAACCTGTGGGTCAAGTTGTTTCTTATGGTTGAAATATTAATAACGCATGGAAGATATCCCCTGCTCCCTTATCATGGAGAGTCAATCCTTTACTTTTAATCACAGTCATCTTAATTGAGGAAAGATTCCTAATATTCACTTTGGTACTATCAGTTCTCTGGGAATAGCAAGGTCACAGGCAAAATCAGCTTAGAGGAGCAGGCTTTGAGATAGAAGGTACTTGAAATATCCAATGATCTTCTCCCTCAAACTCTAATCTTTTCCTTCCATATTCCTTTTAGAAAGAGCTTTTCTTCATAGAAGAAAAATGAGGATGGCAGGTTTAGCTAAAAAGGGAGGGATTTTAAATTTAAAAAATTTTTTCAATTTCAGATTGTATTCAATATTATTTTGTATCAGTTTCAGAAGTATAGCAAAGGGCTTAGAAAATTATATACTTTATAAAGTGGTCTTCATGCTGCTTCAAGGGATCAGCTGGTCCCACACATAGTTATCCCGATATTATTGACTATCACGAAATTCTTGCACGGGGGAGTCTCCTCAGCCCAGCCTGCACCGTTTCCAATCCGGGACCCCTCAGGGAATGTTCGACTGCCAGTTTAATAAACTGGAAGTGGAACATTCCTCTCACATTCCTGGACCGCTGGCTTCTAATCGCTCATCTGCCTGCCTGCCTGGTTGCCCCTAACTGCCCCCTTTGCCAGCCTGATTGCCCCTCACTGCCTGTGCCTGCCAGCCTGATCACCCCTAACTGCCCCCACCCTGCCAGCCAGGTCGCCCCCAACTGCAACTCCCCGCCAGCCTGGTCACCCCTACCTGCCCCCTCCTTGCTGGCCTGGTCACCCCATGCAGCCTGCTTGTTCAGTCGTTTGGTTGTCCCTCATTAACCCCCCTGCTGGCCTGGTAGTAGGCAGCCATCTTGTGAGGGCTTGAGGGTTAATTTGCATATTACCTCTTTATTATATAGGATTCCCTATGTTGTAATGTACATCTTTGTGACTAATCTGTAACTACTATTTTGTACTGCTTAAGCCCTTCACCTTTTTCACCTAGCCTACAACTGTCTGTCTGTTGTCTAAATCTATGGGTCTGTTTCTATTTTGTTTGTTTCTTTTGTTCATTAGATTCTACATGCAAGTGAAATCATATAGTATTTGTCTTTCTCTGTCTGATTTATTTCACTTAGCATTATACACTCTAGGTCCATCCATACTGTTGTAAAAGTAAGATTTAATTCATTTTTAAGGCTGAGTTGTATTCCATTGTGTTTATGTATGACAGCTTGAAGAGGAAGATTTTATATGTATTTTTTGCTTAAGAGAGTGAACCATTGCGTTTTCCAAATTTCAAACATGTAAACCCAGGCCATTGTAGAATAAATACCAACAGCATCTGACTCTTTCCAAAATATTAACAATGACTCAGTAGTGTGCAGAGTTACAAACCTTGATCTCTATATTCTTCCGTATTCTCTGATTTGACTTAATTTATTTGACCAATTGTTGTTTTGAGTCCCTCAGAGGCACAGGGTAAGAGAATATTTAACAGCAAGTTCAGTAGTTGTGAATGTAACCACAAGATGGCAGTGCACCTCACTGATGCAGAACATGTGGAGGGTGCATTTTAGTGGATTCTGAATGAACAGGCTTTGGCAGAAGCACAGTCTTTTCCTTATTGGCTGTGTAGAATGTGAGAAACCCCTATGATGGTCAGAGGAAAGGAGGGGTAACTTGATAACAGCAGCAGCTCCCCTGGCTGTGATTGCAGGTCCACAATTGCTCCTGAGTAGGAAGAATGATGAAGACATCCATTGGAGCTTTGTTCATGTTCTTGTGGCTGCAGCTGGACTGTTAATTGAGGGTTTATGGGAAACAGAATATATTAGTGGATATTCTTTAGAAGCCAACACTGGATTTATTCAGGGTTCCTTAGTTACTGGATAAAAAGAAAATGATAAAGTTTAATGATCTGGTCATTCTTCCTCTTTCTCTAACTCTTTCTTTCTGCATAGGGGTCAGCCATGGAGAGAAAGTGGATCAGCATCCTTCTACCCTGAATGTCCAGGAGGGAAACACTGCTGTTATCAACTGTTCTTATTCAGACAGTGCCTCAAACTACTTCCCTTGGTATAAACAAGAACCTGGAAAAGGTCCCCAGTTCATTCTAGGCATTCGTTCAAATAAGGACATAAACGAAGATGAAAGACTCACTGTTTTCTTGAATAAGGCAGCCAAACATCTCTCCTTGCACATCACAGCCACCCAACCTGGAGACTCAGCCGTCTACTTCTGTGCAGCGAGTACACATTGCTTCCCAGGCACCTGCATCCTGTACACAAACCTGCGAGGGGGCAGCCCCCTCTGCCTGGGACAGACCTGCAAGCACAGCATTTGTCTTATTGCTTATTTGCAGTGGAAAATAGTGTGTTGGTGTAAAAACACTTAATAAGAGGTCAGTTTCAAGATGACCCAGAAAGGGTTAGAACATATGGTTGGGTGTTTGTTGCTTAGTGGATTCTTGAAGTGAGTTAGTAGTGTTTAATTTTGAAACTTAGGCTTTAAAGATGACTTTATATTTGCTATTAAAATCCTGTCCTATTAGAAACCCTTTAGCATCAATATCACAATCTTTATTATGATTGGTCTTTTAATTATTGTGTTTTGAAACAGCCTTCATTACTTTTTCTGATTATAAATTATTACATGCCAAATATAGAAAATATGTATAATAAAAAATGTGAAATTGATAATTATGTAAGCAGATAATATTGCTAACAGTTAAATTATATTTCCATCAATTTTTAGTGTAATTAGAATCACGATTTTTTTATTGAATTGTATATCTTGAATTGAGCATTTTCATTTCATTGAGACTTCTCTTGGGACACCTGTTATTTAATAGTTCTGTGAGAAATTTTAGTAAATTACAGATTTTTATTAATTTTCTTCTACATTTGTGGCAAAATGTGCGTTTTTTTCTATGTGTTCCGACCACTTTATTGTTAAAAATACGTGACATGTTTGTTTTCAGAGCCCAGTGATGGCATGTACTATTTGTGTGTTTGAGGAAATGAGGATAGGACATGATTTAAGAAAGTGAGCTTCTGATTAAACACACAAAGCAATTCTCTTTTCCCAAATTCTGTACATATTTGTTCACATTTATATTCTCATAGAATTTAAAAGATTGAGTTGTATATTATTCACTGCTATAGCCTCAGTACTCAGCACGAACTTTCCCACATAGTTGATAATCAGTAGATGTTTGTTAAAGATAGGTGAGTTCTGGTATTTACTCATATTTTTAATTTAAGCTTTGTGATAGAATTAAATTTATATATTGATTTGTGAGGATCAGAACTCCTAATGTGTGTATTTGATTATTTCATTATGTAAGAACATATAGTTTCTATTTATACATGTCTTTCTCAATAAAACTGTTATTTTAAGACAATTAAATCTACTCCTAGACTTGTAATTTTTTGCTCCCATTATGACTCAAATCTTTCTTTTTGGGGTATAGAGGAAAATTTTTATAAGTATTTATTAGCTACCTTACTATTATTAATGGAGTGCATAAAGGCATTAGGTGAATAGATAATTTACAGATAGCTTGTGACAAATATCCTTGCCTCATCTTCATGTTTCGACTGAATAAACTTTACTAACCACAACCTTTTTCTTTTTTTAAAAAAAGTCAATTCTTTTAATGTTATGGATAAATAAATGGAATGAAAAATGTTGCATGAATCATTAATTTCCCAATTATCCCACCTGTGGTCCCGGGTAGGTTATTTTCAAGATCTCTTATATTCTCCCTAAAGAATTGGAGACTGGTCTGGAGAAATAATTGCTCTTGGCTGAGTTATGGTTGTCAGTAATTAATTGTTTTTTCTTGTAAGGAAATGCATCACATTAAACCAGATGCATAACATGTGAACAAGAAAGGCCAGTATTGTAGCCCAACACCTCAATGACTTCCATTATTTCCTCACTATAACCACTAGCTCTAGTCCAGTAAAAGCAAGGTGCCTGTTGATTGGTCCATTTCCTGGAAGACAGGGAGAGGGATGCATGATGCATGGCTTTTTTTTTATTGGTTTATTCTTCGTAAACCAAATTCGAAGTGAGGGAGAGTAGGCAAAATTACTATGGACTTAACTGTTTTTGTCACATATACATGGGAATTGTTTTAGGAAAGAAGAAATCCTCTGGTCAGAGATGCAGAGTCAGTACATACTTAGGCTCATTGAGACTTTAAACCTTCACTGCAGTATCGGTTTCCTCCCTTTGCTGGACAATTCACTACAAACATTATGGCCTTTATTTTCATCCTGCAAAACCAGGCTGTGTGTTGACAGCTTCCCTATTGCTTGCTTTCCCTCAGGTGGTGCTGACTGCTCAAATGGTGTGGCTTCACCCAGTCCCGCACAGTGGGACCCTTTCTGAGCCCACAAACTAGCCATCTGTAGAGGCTGACTCTTGTTACCCTCTTGTGTGCACTGGTAGCCGGCCACCAAGTGGAATGGTGTTTGGGTGAGGTGCTGAGCATTGAGGGTGCTCGTGGACCAGTTGTGGGAATCTGCAGGCAAGGTGTCCCCAGCATCTCGTGGGCAGGTTCCTGATGTCGTCTGTCTGTGCTGCAGTTAATGGGATCTGTGTCCCTTTAATGCCCACTGAGAGGCCTGGATGCTGTTCCAGGTGCTTCCCACTTCCCAGCTGGGCAGCTCACCTCAGTATATGGACGGGGCAAGAATGAGGCGAGTCTCTTTTGCAGCTTCCCCTAAAGTTGGGAGAGCCAGGGCTCACTCACATACGCTCACTTTCCTCTATGGGAAAAATCAAAGGCCCAGAAGATTTCTATTGAACTGCACCATGCTGCACCGGGGAAGGTATGACTAGCGAAAAATAAAAACATTCCTCCTACCCTTTAACATGCTACCAATCTCAGATATTTTTGTTCTCAGAATGTGCTTCTCACACAGTGTAACTTCTGTGCTAGATTCCTGAACTTCTCCACAGGCACTCTACTGAGTGTATAATTGTGAAACTTGTTCCTTTGTTTTAGGGGGTAGAAGGGGGTAGGAAGATGGTGAAAATTCCCATTTAACTTTTTTGATTTCAATATTTAAAACAAATTGTAAATCCTCACCCCAGGATATGATTTTATTGATTTGAGAGAGAGGGAGAGATAGATAGAGAGAAACATCAGTCAGTTGCCTTCATAGGGGCCCCAACTTGGATCAAACCTGCAACCTAGGAATGTGCCAGAGAGGAGGGTGGTTGCAGACACTGGTGAAAAAAAAAAAGAGAAGAGATTAAGAAGTAAAAATTGGCCCTAACCGATTTTGTTCAGCGGATAGAGAGTAGGCCTGTGGACTGAAGGGTCCCAGGTTTGATTCCGGTCAAGGGCATATACCCCAGTTGCGGGCACATCCCCAGTAGGGGGCCTGCAAGAGGCAGCTGAATCAATGTTTCTCTCTCATCGATGTTTCTAACTCTGTATCCCTCTCCCTCTCCCTTCCTCTCTGTAAAAAATCAATAAAATATATTTAAAAAGAAGTACAAATTGATAGTTATAAAATAGTCACTAGGATGTAAAGTACAGCATAAAGAATATAGTAAAAAATATTGTAATAACTATGTATGGTGTCAGGTTGGTACTGAAAATATTGGAGAGAACACTTTGTAAAGTATATGACTGTCTAACCACTACTATACACCTTAAATAAAAACAAAATAATATTGGACATAAAGGGTAATTGAAAAATAAAATTGAAAAAGAGTGGTTAATGCAAAGGAAGTGGGGTCTGGGTGAGCCTCTCAGCCGGTACATGGAAAGTTTTGCGGGCACCACAGCAACGTGGCTGCACCAGAAAACCCTGTTCCTGTTTTGGGGCAGCAGCAGCACACAGCTCAGCATTTTTCTCTCCATTTGTCAGTCACCTCACCTTGCAGGGCCCTCACATTGAAGAAGGAAAAAGGAGGTTTTCTTCCACCAAGTGGGAGAACTGGACAATGTTGGTTCTCCGGTCTTCTGAGGGCTGGTCATAACTCCCATGTGGCTAGGTGAGGATGCCCCAGTGGGAATGGGTCTTCTCTGTGACATAACAACAGGGAGTGCAGGCAGTCTTGTATGAGTACCCTGGGAAGGAAAGCTGGCTGGGAGTAAAACAAAATTCTTTCTGTGTGGTACATCTACACAATAGAAGACTACTCCACTATAAAAAAGAGGGCACTTTTACGATTTGCAACAGCACGGATGGAACTGGAGAGCATTATGTTAAGCGAAATAAGCCAGTCAGAGAAAGATAAATATCACATGATCTCACTCATATGAGGGATATAATGATCAACATAATTTGATGACCCAAAATAGATCCCGAGACAAATGGCAGGGGAGGTGTGTGTGTGGGGGGGGGGGGGTAGCTGACCAGGGGCAGTTAGAGAGCAACCAAAGGACTTGTATGCATCCATATTAGCATAATCAATGGACACAGACACTGGGGCGGTGGGGGCTTGCCAGGGGTGGGAATGGCTGGTGGTGGTGGTGGGGGGAGAGTTAATTGGTGAAAAAGGATATATATATATATATATATATATATATATATATATATATATATAAATATGTATATTTTTTCTGTCCCACACCACTTATCCCATATCCTTCTGTTTGTATTTTTTTCTCTCAGGGTCCAGTATTGCCCAGAAGGTAACTCAAGGCCAACGAGCAATCCTGGTGCAGGAGAAGGAGGCTGTGAGCCTGGAGTGCACATATGGCACCAGTGATCCACGTTATAGTCTATTCTGGTACAAGCAGCTCAGCAGTGGGGCGATGGTTTTCCTCATTCGTCAGGACTCTTACAACCAGCAAAATGCCACAGGAGGCCGCTACTCACTGAATTTTCAGAAAGCAAAGAGTTCTGCCAACCTTGTCATCTCAGCTTCACAGCTGGAGGACTCAGCAGTGTATTTCTGTGCCCTGACTGAGCCCACAGTGAGAGGTGTGTTAGAAGGAGGTGTACCAAAACCCCAGGGCTCTGCTTCATGCATCCACCTGCTGTAGGGACCAAGGCGGGGAATTGTAATCACAGACAGGAAGTGACAAGGGCTGTGGCAGCACAGGTGTAGGTAGGGTTAGAGGGAAAACACCCTATGAAAATACCTCTCTAGTTTCATGGAACATGTGTAGAGTTATCATTCATCAAAAACATCCATATCTTTGAAAATTTGGGTTGAAATTGTTTATTGGATATAAAGAAGAGCCACAATAAACAACTTACCATTGGTGACAGATTGAGCTAGAAGAATTGACTAAGGAAATTCAGAAACATCTGACTCAAAAATCAGTAAAACTCTGTAAAATTGTCAGATTTTCCCTATCAGTTTGTTCAATAAGTATTTATTGAGTATATTTTATTTTAAAGGCATTGCTTTTAATAACGAAGGCTATGGAATCTTTCTGTTTTTCTCTTTTTTACGTATGGTCTTTTATATTGTTCAATGAGTTAATTTAATTTATATTTGTTAGCTGAGGTAAGGTACCCTCATTTACTTTCAACGGTGCCTACTATGTGACAAAGTTTATGTTCTTCCATCTTATTAATACTCTAGCATGGAAGAGCTCATTTCAGATTTACCTGCCTCCCACCAGTCTTACTCATAAAATGATCAATAATTAGTGGCGCTAGAAAAACATTGTGAAGAAGCAGTGTGTGAATTACTATTTTCTACCTTGTCCTTAACTTTACCACCATTCTAAAAGCTTTTTGCCATCATGTTGCATATTTGCACACTTCCTTGCCCTCTTTCTTTGTTTTATCAGTGCTCCATAATTCAAAATCCTCATTCTCTAATATTTCCTCCTTTTATGTCTAACCCCATTGTCTTAATGCCTTATAGTTTGAATAGTAATGGTGTTTCATAAGTGACCTTGTATTGTATTCACTCTTATATTTACACTAGAGGCCCAGTGCATGAATTCATGCACTTGTGGAGTCTGGCTGGCCTGCCTTGATCAGGGTGATCAGGCTGGGCTGGCTGGCGGAGGGGTCGGGTGCAGTTGGCAGGCTGGCCCCACCCCTGATCGGGATCATGCAGCTGACCAGGGGCAGGGCTGGCTTGGGGGAGGAGCTGTATTCTGTTGGCTGGTCTGCCTTGCCCCCTGGTGGAACTCCAGTTCGAGGGGACAATTTGCATATTAGCCTTTTATTATATAGGATTTGGAAAGCAGATGTGCACAGTAGAAATCAGAAAAGGAGTGTCTTTAAAATATTGAAGTTATTAACATTTTGCCACTTTAATGTAAATTTTTACTATTTTAGGTGTACAATTGAGTGATATCAAGTATGCTTACATAGTCAATCAAGAAGCACAACTATCTTATCTCTAGAACTCTATTCATCTTGAAAAATTGAAAATTTCTACTCCTTAAACAGTAACACTTGATTCCCCCTTTCCCTCCAGCCCCTGGCAAATACCCTTTGAGTTATCATTCTATGAATTAGACTATTAGACTATTTCAGATGCCTCATAAAAGTGGACTAATGCACTATTGGTCATATTGTAACTTATTGCATCTAGTATTATATCCTAGTATAATGTTCACCCATGTTGCGGCATGTGTCAGAATTTCTTTCCTTTTTATGCCTAATATTCCAGTGTATGTATA